CGTGTGTTAAGATGAAATTTGTATCATCAATTAATTGAAATATTGTAAAATAGTACAATTTGTTGACCAGAATAAAGATTGGGACATATTATTCAGTTACAACAAGAGTGGTATTGAGCCTTTAAATGAATCAGCTGAACATGCTACACAAATTCTGGATCTTGCTACTTTGCTGTTTCATCAACTAATGGGTATTATTCGAAATTTGATACTAATGTGATACACGTGAACTGTGGTTTAATTTAGTTCCAAGTAAACTTCTGAACTGATGATAAGGTTTGCTTTATATACGACAGAAGACATACGGTCAGTATTCTTACTGTGCCAGTCTTTAATAAACGTTTGAACCTTCATCAGCCTATATAATTTATTTGGAACTCTATATTATTTTTAGGTGAGTTAATATTTCGTATTAGTAAAATTTGTATGTATTATTTTTTTGTTATTAAGGTTACTATCTTTATATTACGCATAGTATGTGAAATGTTATATTGAGAATTACATCACGTGATATATGCAATTTCATACATAGTTATGCACATACGTTTATTATCAAACGGCGCATACAATATGTTCTTTTGCTAAAGACATTAAATATATTTCGAATCGTAATATTGTAATTATGATGTATAATGTATTCTGAACCGTATTATAATAACTTGTCTTATCATTTATTATTCATGCATATTGTTTAAATATTTTGTATTCATTATATATGATTCTTACTGTGCCAGTCTTTAATAAACGTTTGAACCTTCATCAGCCTATATAATTTATTTGGAACTCTATATTAATTTTAGATCCCACAGAATATCCAGAATATACTGTGAGAACGTGAAAGATCCCCGAACTAATAGAACACTGAGCTACAACCAAAGTCATAACTAATACCAATTATTTAGCAAACGGATTCACGTTCTCAGTACTAAAAACAACAGTGTGGCAGCCATTCGACTCTAATCCTTGATCTAGAGAACGAGCAAACGCGTGTTTCTTTGAACTGATCTTTTCTTCCAAAATCTATCCCCCAAAAGATGACCGAATTTATTTATTAAAATATCTCCTTCTAAATATGTATTCTGTATTCACAGTCATTACCGATGGAAGAGGTTGCATAGTGTACACAACGGCGTGGAAATAATACGTATCTATTTAAATTTTAACTATTTAATGTACATACATATTCAGTGGATTATTCCAGATTTCTGAAGGCGATGGCAGGCGAAGGGGACAGGATTTTAAAATTAGATTAATTGAAATTAAAAGGGTACGTTATAGGGTTTGGAAACATACTTTATGCAGTTTAGGGACACACAGTAGAACGCTTTGAAAATATCGTATATGAAACGTGTTGGGTATAAGATTGTGTATTTTTAAAAAGGTGTTTCAATGTATCTTCAAAATATATTATAACCATATTCATATATATATATATATATATAATATTTGACATAGTATTATTACAAGTGAACTATACAACGCAGTATTGCGTGATGTAGGTTTTTAGTTTCAGTTTTCCATGTGATTTAATACTAAGATAGGAAGGAAGTCAATATGAAGTGCTATTACTCGCTGTGTCCGTTATATAGATATCAATATATTGAGAATTAAAGGGTGTTTGATCTAAGTCATTCTAATGCACGTTTTTAAAATGCAGAATTTATCTCTTTTAAATATCAGTACCATCTACCTATAACATATTAACAATGTGACACAATTTTATACTATAAAAACACCCGTTTGTTTCATTTGATATCTTTAGATGTCTAATTTGAGACCGCACACTGATAGAAGAAAATCCAGAATATCCTGTTCTAACCCCCCAAGCCCTACCCCCCATTCCAACACAGGAAACATGTTGATGTTTTGGCATATTCATATTTAATTTAAAGGCGGAAAGATAGCAGCTAGAGTTTAGGGGTGGTTTAAAGTGATGTGTCTAGTGGGTGGTTGCAGGTTTAGTAGCACACGTATACTACTTCCAATTTGTGTATCTCAAAATGTCCATGGTTAACCTCATATAAAATTTTGAGCAAGCCATTGACTGTTGTTCCGTCTTTGCTCGAAACGAATTTGCTACAACGTAAGTACCGGGAAAGGGGTGGGGTGAAATTAATGGGAAATCCAACTATTTACAATTACTGTATTGTTTAGTTCATGCCACCTTCAGTCATTTAACATGTTTTAGAAGTTTCCATGGATTTTGTGATTTAACAACGCGAAATGCGATATCATCTTAATGGAATAGCCTGTCATATTTTAATTTGAATGATCAAAAGTTAATGTGATTTGAAAGTCTCGAACAACAATTGCTTATCTCTGCTTCGACTCAGTAGAAAATGCTCATAGTAAGTGTCAAGGGACCACATCACACTTAAACAGAGAGAGAGAGAGAGAGAGAGAGAGAGATGGGGCTTAACATCCACTCGACATAAACTATGTCATTTCGGGACTAACATATGGTTCAATTTTATTGCAATAATTCTCTTGCGCGTAGGGTCTTTAGTAGTGGGAGGAAACCGGGTGACTCGGAGAAAACCCACGAGGTTGGACAGACGATCCTACTCCTTGTCACGTACAACCGGGGAATCGAAATCCCGCCAGTTGACTCAATAACAGACTTTATGATAAACAATTACACAAAACAAACCTCAAACAACAAACACAACATCGATATACAACAGGAGAAGATTATGCTTCCGGTATTCGAAGGTACAATAATACTTCCGGTATTGTGTATTCCATCATGCTTTCTAACCGGGCTTATTTTAACGGTCCCTTACGATGTCGGAAGTGACAGTGGACAGATCTTTCGCCACCCCCATCCAATTATAATGTCATGTCTAGCACATAGCTATTTCTATATATTTCTCTATATATTCAAATAATTTATGATTCAATACAATACTTCCCCGTTGATTTAAAGTCACGTTATAACATTGGCAACATCACAAAATCAATATTCCATCAATGACAAAAGTGATTTAAAATGTCAGTTTAATATCCAATTTTTTTTTAAAAAATCCACCAACTGTGATTAAAGGGTGGAACTGGATAAATACAATTAAACTGACCCCATGATTTCAGCTCTTTTTATATGCGACCTTTACCGCAAACTGGACATTGTTTATTGTGAACGTCAATTTGAATGCATCTTATCATGGCCCAGTCGACAAAATATAACACTGAATTTAAAATCATAAGTGCTATTGGTGTGTGTTTCTGGAGATTGCATATTTCACACATGTGGGTTGCTTGAACAAAGTTCATACCGGGAAGTTCAGGAAAATTCTGGCCTATTTAAGCGACAAAAACGAAAATACTGCTATTAGAGAAAGTGTAAGAACACATTGTCAAATCCACTAGAACATGCAGTCACAAGTCCAAAGGTCTAGCTCTAGTTTAAGCAGGCAGCTTATTTATCGCTTTAAAATGTAGAAATGTGATTAAAGCCATTTAACATCCTGGTCACAAGATACAACAGTATGCTGGTGCAAGTCGTTGTTATATAACTATACTAACCAACATCACAATAATATTAATTAGAATAGATATGTGTTTGATTAAAGTAATCCATGATACTAGCTAAAAAGGTAAGATTATCACGTATATTGGTTTTTCTCCGTTCTGGAAAACTATGGTTTAATGAAGAAGCTTCGTGGTGACTTTGTTAGGGGAAACATTCTTTGATATAACTTTTATTGTAAAGATAAGGCGTACGAATAATTCGTTGTAAATAACGTTCATTGGATTAACTCATTAAGAGTAACACAGAGTTCAGAATATACCGCAATGGTCTTGGTATTTCAATTATACCACTTTTCATCTGGTATTGACAACCAATATCCCCCCCCCCCCCCATCCCCCCACACCTGCACCAAACAAAAAACATATCAAAAAGTATCAAAAGTTTAAAACATCATTACTGTTTACGATGTGGAATGGTTTTATTATTATAGGACCATTATACCAAGGCATATTATAGGACCACCTCTTTTACCAAGAACTATTTTAATGGAGAAACGTGTTTTAGTGATCATCTTTCTTCTTCTTCCATCAGAAATAGGTTAGTTTCAGTATATATTATATGATTAATTGAATTTTTTTGCTCAATTATTCAAAGTGAATTAAAATTTTTTTTAGATAAAATAGAAACTTAATCCGAAGTCTATGTCAGGAGCAAGGGAACCATCGCAGTGGCGATCCAATTGATCTAATAATACGACTACAGTGCCACCGCCCCCCACCCCCACACCCACGCGTGCTGTGCATGGCCAGTGTGGAATGTATGTAGGCTAAGTGTGTTGTAATTGCTATTTGTATCTGTTTTAACACAAAATGAAGATATATGGCGCATGTTAATAAATTATTCCATTTTCTTCTTCCATTCTCGAATAGATTAAATGTTGCAGAGTACATAATTAACTCTTATATCTTAACAGATTCAAAAGGAAGTGATGCATGTACAAATGGAAAATGTAATACACACAGACTTATGTGTGATAATGGAAAACTTACACAGATATACCGGGCTTATTATGGCTTTACACGCTACGAGAAGACATGTACAAATTATTGTCAACATGCGATAGTTTCCATTTATGCAAGCTGCACTAAGGAGTTTAGAAAAGACCATTATAATGAGCTGATACAGAGATGTAACAAACAGCAAAATTGTAATTTTACTACTCCTGTCACGTCTAAGGGCATACCTTGCTCCCGGAATATGTATTACTATTACTACACATTTTCGAGGATATATTACAATTGTACAAAAGGTATGATTTGTAATCAATTTCCTTTCTTTCTTCAATAAATATAGCAAATACATGTACGTTTAGTACGTTTATAATCAAAACTACTGTATTTTGTGTCCCGCAGAAAATTTTCAAATCGATCTTTGGTTTTAAGGGGAATATTTTGTCAGTCTACAAGACTATTTTTAGTCATATCAGTATTTAATATGACGACTGTTTTAGTGTAATACATTGTCAATATTTAATCGAATGAAGAAGAAAAAAATAAAGAACCAGGCGGAATCGAAAGTGCTGATACCAGTGGTGCCCAAACTTTATCTCCCGAAACAGGAGTAGATTCAGCTGGTAAGTTGCGTATTAACAATATTGGACCATGGTTTAATCCTCTCTAATTTATTAAATGTGTGTCTGATATAGAAATTGTTTAGATGTAATTAGCAGCAATAAACTTACACGCTGTTTATCATTTTAGTTCTGGGTATATAGTCCTAATGTGCCGCTATTGATAATACGAAGTCAACGGTGACCTAAAATCATCCAAATATTTATAGATGGAACATACTAATTGTATATCTGAAAGTTACACCTTTGTAACCTTTTGGTTGGACGTTACGACGATTGTAGATATCTTTTACAAGACGTACCCCACCCCCTTCCCAATCTGTATTAAATAGTTACCCATTAATAGATTAATGTTAAGAACACGATAAGAATTGTCTGGCATAATATAATGATTATCGCTTAAGAGTAGATCAGTTCCAAGTGGAAAGGAACACGCAACCGTAACAATATGAACTGTGCCACCTGACGTTTGAGCTGCAGATGATCGTGACACACGATTCTTAGTCAAAACATCCGGGAAATAATTACAATAACCTAGACCCCTGCCCCTACTTATTGTGCAGACCTTTAGTCGCCAAAGGAGTAAAATTTTGGAATAGTCCAGTCAATCTAGCTGAAAAAAGGGTCCAACCCAAAACAAATTGCAACAGAATTTCTTTTGGTGGTATGCATTTCCGAAGGTCTCCTGTACATCATACTAAAAATGTTCCAAAATATTTTTGGTGGAAATGGGTCAAATTGCGTAATATGCTAATTAGCATAATTTCATATTTCAAAATTGATTTAATGCTATAATTTGGCTATCAAATGTTCAAATTTAATGGAAATTGTATCCAAACCCATGTTTTCGTGGCCAGGGACACAAATAAACACATTTAGAATATAATCACATAATTACCTGATGCACAATATGCAAATTAACATCCGCCATTAGTGAAAAACTTATTTTTCCCCCTAAATCTGAAACTTTTTAACTTAGCTCCAAGAAACCAGTACCTATGACCATAATTACAGTGTCAAGGGTGCTGAAAAGCACTAGAAGAACAGTACAGTTATATTGCATAATATAGAATATGCAAATTAGACACCTGGGCCATGACTGAAAAAACAAACTTTTAGTCCAATCTCAAAAACATTTGCAATAAGTATGACTTATTTGAAAAGCATGCTTTACTCAATAACTTCAATCAGTGCACTAATTTGTTTACGATTGTAATCATTACCGATTTTTATGGGGATTAGGAATCCAGTGAAAACTATTATAGTTCATTTAGGCGTTTGCGTTACAGAAATTATGGTCTTTAGACCCCCCACCCCACTCCAAATGACTTTCGTTGAGTACTAAGACCAATAGAAATAAATCAACGATATTCGTTTTTATACGCCCACATTTTCATGTGGACGTATATTGTCGTCGCCCCTGTCCGTCTGTCTGTCCGCCCACAATTTGTTTATCTACAAAAGATCTCGGTTCCTTTCAATATTGACATGTATCGCATCAAAACTTCATGGATTATGGCCCCTGAATGTACGAAAAATCATAATTTTTATCTGATTTTTATTAACCTTGAAATGCATGTTTATAACCCAAAGATCTTGGTTCCTTTCGATATTTGCGCATATCGGATCGTAACTTCATGAATTATGGTCACTGATTTTACGAAAATATCACCGTAATGACGGTTGAGTTCGAATGTCGTGAAATATCAAAGTTGTGGACCCTCTAGAGGTCACAATTTTTATATGATTTTAATGAAACTTGAAATACATGTTTATAACCCAAAAATCTAGGTTCTGTGCATTTTTAGCTTGTGGTGCCTCTAGGGGTAACAATTTTTATCCGATTTAAAAAAAAACCGTTTGAATATATCACCGGTACACCCTATTGATGGTTGAAAATCGCACCAAAACAGTCGGACAAAATGACCGCCCATCGTACGCAAATAGTGTAAAAGTATGTAATACCAAGGTTGTGGACTCTCCAGAAGTCACGATTTTTATCCAATTTTGATGAAACTTAAATATATATCTTTATATCCCAAATATCTCAGTCCATTCGATAAATATATGGTATATCAAGGTTATGGCCCTTGGTTGTACGAAAAATCACGTTTTTAGCTTGTAGTCCCTCTAGAGGTCACAATTTTTATCACGTTTACAAAAACGTTTGCATAAATCATTGTTACACCCTAATGAAGGTTGATTTCGAATTTTGTGCAAATCGGAACAAAACTGCCGGACAAAGTCACCGTCCCTCGCTCGCAAATACATGTAGTGTAAAAGTATATAATACCAACGTTGTGGACTCTCTAGAAGTCACGATTTTTATTCGAATTTATTAAAACTTAAATATGTATCTTTATATCCCAAATAATTCAGTCCATTTCGATATTCGCGCATTTCAGACCATAACTTTCTGGATTATGGCCCTCTTTTATTAGATTGTTCTCTATCCACATCTTGCAAAATGTGGGCGTATCTTGCCTGGCAACGACTGGTTGTCTCTAATGAGTACCAATTTTGAATTCTGTAGATTGTTGGTTCTATGTATTGTTGGTTGATTTCTAGATATACCCGTTATAGTAGGAAGTGTTACTGGATGTTTCATTTTGGTGATATTATTGGTTATAGTTATTCTGGTTGTAATAAAGAGGTAAGGGAAGCTGTTATCTTTCAGGTTGTGTTTCTTTTCGAACCACACCAGTCCTCGAAAATTATTATATTAAATACGTTTGTATATCTTAAGACAAACTGTAAAAGTTACCGTGATTAATACAAATATACTCTATTCTTACAATTCTATTGTAAATATTTATTTTATTTTCCACATAGCACACGTATGGATAGTCCAAGAAACTTACTTTATTTATTGCAGAAGAAGAGTTAGTCGTGTTATTGGTAACCATTTACAACATAGTGTTAGCCTGTCAAACACAGGATACGAAACTACTGGCGAAAGTTGCAATCATGTGACATTCACGCATGACAATTCGCCTTCTACACGAGGTATTGAGTCTGACGATTATAATCATTTGCATGACGCCAGGACCAACAACTCTACGGACAATGCTAATGACTATAACCATCTTAGAAGTGCGCCTGGTGAAGATAAACAGTTTAGTGACGACTACAACCATCTCGGTGACTTCACGAAGAACACCCACTTCGACCACAACGATGTCGGTGACTTAAGGAAGAAGACACACGCCGACTACAAACCCCGAGGTGATGTAAGAGAGAAACCGGATGCAGACTACAACCATGTCGGTAATATTAGGGAAAAGGAGATCCACGAAGACTACAACCATCTCGAAAAAGAAAGTGAGGTATAGGAGGTGAAGGAAAATGATGACTGCAACCATATTGGTGGCATAAAGGAGGAGAAGATTCACGCTGATTACAGCTATAATATTGTTGAAAACTAATCCAGTCACATGCAGCCTGGTGACTTAAAGAAGTGCAGATTCCTAATGGTGACCTTTATTACAAACAAATGCCGTTTAAAAGCGATATCTTTGCTTTGGTAGTCTCGTACTATGACTTAGTACTACTGCTATTCAGTGTATTTTATTACAAGGGTACCATAACTCAGCTAGTATAGCTATACTATTTTTCTGTAATTTTATTATTTGTTAAAGGGATATCTTTGCTTTGGTAAAAGATCTTTAGAAAAGACAAAGGCTTACGACATCACAGGCTACAGATTTTAGGCAGTGTGTCCACAGTTCAACACAATGCCACAGTTGCAGATTGGTATTAAGGTAATTTCGGTTGCTATCACCCATGCTAAACCTACAGACAGCTGGAGCTGCTCATGATCTGAGCCAAGCTGTTGCTGCTGAATCAGGCTTACAAAATATGTCATTGATGATACTTGTAATCTAACCGTAAATGTAGCTCACCCAGGTTCTATTAATTTCATTAGTGATAATTATGTTGATGAAGCACCACAGCCATGATGTCGTGCTTTCAACAAAAGATTTCAATCTTCTTTTAAACAATATTTATTCAATCAATATTTACATAATGTAAAAATACACATGGGATGTGAAAACAAGCCGGAGCTTATATAAATTACAGATATAAAAAACATTGTTTATAATTATACACATGATTTACATAATATGGTATACATTACAAAAGCAAAAATATTTACTCTCACCTAATTGAAATAGTTATCTTAGATTAGTACAAAATACTTAATATATAGAGGTTCATATACAGAAGGTAATGTACAGAGGTTAATATGGTTAGCGACACGATCATCTGATGTTGATTATAGCGTGGAAGGGTATGCGAAACTCGAGAGAAAGGGAAAGTCAAGTCTAAAGTCTTGGGCTAAGTGTTAAGGTGTTACGTAGTTGAAGATTGTCGTTAGATAGTAGTTTATATTTTTGGTATAAGCCTTCAGGATGGAAAAGGTATCATTAGTCATGATAATATTATCATAATATGTATCATCAAACAAGAGATGGTCGTGTAAAACCGTCCACATACAACACCAATCATTAAACAAGATATTCGCTGTATTCTACAGTTTTGATTTTAACTCTAAAATTTCTATCTCTTGTTGGGAAATTATATTGAGTACTGTCACTATAATTGACTTTTAATTATTTTAAGTGGTGATTGATTCATTTCTTTTTTCCTGTGTGAAGAATGCTTTTGGATTCCATAATCTTTATGGCGAAATATTTTAGATACCTCACATTGGCATAAAGTTAATTATTAATATTATATCCTCTAGGTTTTTCATTTTAGTACATATTAATTGTTCATAATATCATCTTATTAGTTATTCATACTTATTACTGCTTTTAATTTCATGTTGCATTTTCAATAAATGTCACCTTTGCAGTTTTGTTCAATTTCAATATGGTTTCCCCTTGTCAGTGGTGCAGAACAGAGGTCCCGTCTAAACATTGGAATGCACGTAAAAAATCCCTTGGCAGTTGGAATTCGATATAAAAGTAGGCGATAGTGCCGCTGCCCGGGCAAAATTTCTCTCATAGCACACTGTATGGCGCATGCCCGTCTTCATTAGCCCAGTATAGGAACAAAACAGTAGGACGTTAAACCCATTTCATTTCATTTCAATTTCAATATGGTGTTTGTTGTGATATGGAAATAGAGCATATACACAAAATAAAGAGTTTAAGACAACAATCAAGTGTACTATGTTTAAGAAACGTTCTGGTCCAAAATTTAATAATACTAACAAACGGTGTGGCCATTTACAGTTTACATTATTGTCTGTTCATTCATATCGCCATTGGTATGTGCCTTTGCCACAGCCACAGGTATACTGGTTTGCCGTTATATTCCAAATGTTCCACATAAGTAAATTATTTATTTCCATGTTTGTATATATAATACTGGAACCTATTGATGTTTGCTATATGCGAAATATGTAGGACGAAATATAGTTACATTTTACTAGGTATAAAATACATCAACCAAACAACCTTATAATTATCCATATCAAATTGCTTTTTAATAACCCAATACTATATTTCACACAAAATGTGTTACCATAAATTATGTGACTTGTGAAGTGAAGCTTTCTTGTAGGTATATAAGTATAAGATGATCTAACCTAGATCTCTTTCGTATTATACCATGGATATTAAACGAGAATAACACAAAATTGCAAGCCAACTTCCGCTTAAATTACTGTTAAATTTTAAGCTTTTAGTTTGGTTTATATGCTTTTGCTGACTATATATATATATATGTGTGGGGGGGGGGGCATATATTCGGCTGCTCGTGAAAAAAAGCATTCCTCTAATTTTTAAAAGCAAATGAAACGCCAAAAACTCCCCAAACCACCACTTCTTTAATGAATAAACCATTGGCATTTTACTTTTAATAATGCAGTTGAGTGAATTAAATATCTATCTTCAATACGTATCGCTTTATAAATACTACAATCTATCATAAAACTGGATTAATTAGAGAATGCGAATGCTCCATATCAACATATTATAAGGACAATCAATGAACGCAGATTTGTTCAGAGAGAGAGACTAACAAGCGGGGAATCGAAACCAAGCCCCCCCCCCCCCTCCAACTCCCCCGATATGTTTTAGTTTATACAATCAGCAATATACTGAAGCGATTTAAAAAGACAGAGACTGAACAAAAAATGGCCGGGATCGAAGCGGACTTATTTTCTCCTGCTTATCGTATTAATATTATGTGCTCGGAATATTTTTGTGTTCAGTGACTTGACATGTCTAATAATATATACATACATGCAGTTATTTCTATTTAGTATATATATTTCTATATAATGCTATACAAACCAGGTCATTGAAATAAAGTTTTTTATTTTATTACATCACTTCCTGATAGATTTAAAGTCACAGGACAACCTTTGTAACGTAAACGTCGAATAGTTTAATACGTTAGTTTAAAATCTGTTTAACGATCTACTGTACATAAAATAGTGGAACTGGATGCGATACAGCTAAATTGGTCTCATAATTTCAGTTTTTCCATAAACCGGCCTCCGGACTCTACGACCAAATGGATATGATCTGATACAAGCGTCAAATAGAATGTGCCTTATCACGGGGCAGCCGACAAAATAGCACACAGTTGTAAGAACATTCTTTCTATATATTGTTTAAGGGGAACCGTACAACAAAAATAAAAGGGGCGTTTCTAACTTATTCATCCGGTTCTGACTAAAAAGAAAATAAATACTGATATTTGTTTTTCACAGAGTTCGCTTTAAAGCGATGATCTGTTTGATGAAAGGTCGCTATAAAACCGTTTATAACATCCTGGTTGTGTTTACAACGATTGATACATCAGTGATGCGTACATTTTTTCTGTAACTGTGATAACCTAATGTAAAATCGCAATAGTTAGTTTTATTCAAGTTTTTAATAGGTAATGAATGAGACTGGATAACAAGGTAAGACTCTTTCTTGATTAACAATAAAATATATACCGCATTAAGAACGTTTGACTTGAAGATGGAAAGAATTACGACGAGCACCCTTATCTATAAAAAATATCTTCATGTACAATGGTTTAAAATGGCCAATTTATTAGTATTAAAAGGCCTAAAATACAAGATAAACTATACGCAAAGTATTTACTCGTGTGTTTTGGGGGTTGTGATGATTTGTAACCCCCCCCCCCCCAAAAAAAAAAACAAACAAAAAAACCCCAAACAAATCAATAATCTCAAATGTGTTTATTGAAAAATGTTATATCTCTATTTGAAATTAAATTTTAATATCTTAAATTTATTATTATTTCTTCATGAAGGCTTACGTTAATAACTTAATATAAATCAGAGAAGTTTTAGGTATTTGTCTTCCAATGAGTTCTGATGATATCTTTGCTAAGATCAGATTTGAACAGATTTGTTGATTTTTTGACACATAATTGGAAGGAACAGTTCAAGGCGCTGCCTTAAGAGATATGTTGGTAGGTAGTCGAGCTAACATGATTTGGAAGTTCCAGACGTAATGATTGAGTTCAGACCCGATTCAGTATTTACGACGGTCGTACTGAATGACAATTCTATAGGTGTTCTTACCCATTCAGCGCTCTGTTAACATTGTGGTAATATGTAATTTATCAGAGGGTCTGCGACATTTGACTCGACGTCAAACGTGAAAGGGGTACCCAGATTTGGTAATATCAATGTCCTGGTCATATCCATTGTATCACCCATGATAATTTTTTTTATTATTATAGGATTATTCATTTAACACCAGGACAATTTTAATGGAGAAACTGTTATTAGTGATTATCTTCTTTCGTCTTCCTTCAGAACTAGGTATATTTTATTTTTAAAAAAAAATGATTTAAAACGAACAAACAGAAACCTATAAAAGTACTTAAAAGATATTTTAATATCTTAAATACTTTTATAGGTTTCTGTTTGTTCGTTAAAAGCACGCATACCATTCTCATATATATTTTGTGTCTTATCTATTGTATCAGTAGTATAATGATAAACAATTCATGGAAAATACTGAATTGGTCGCTATTTCTTATTTCTTCCGCACTAATGTAGCGTAACATAAATACACACACAGACCACAATGAAAATACAATTACTTTTTATTACTATCCATAGTTTCATAAAGACCACAAAAGACCCGCCAAAACGCCACACGGTAATAAACAATAAATGTTACCTGTATATTTCCAGTTTGGATATTACATGCTATTGGATCAATTTACCGTAGTATATATAACTCCCTACCTCTATTTTACATTAAAGGGACAATAACACGCTTGCTGGCTTGACAGCCCCAGAAAATAAATAATAGCCTTATTCTAGGTACTAGATGTTTAAGTGTCCTATCTGTTGTGTAAATTATCCATTACATCCTATTTTACTTGTCCAGAGGGTTCGAAAATATTTTTAAATCCAAGTCACATTTGAAAAGGTTTACGTTAGGCTTTTCAAATCATTTAGTTGAATTTTTACAATTTTTTAAATTAGGTGTGATAAGATGAAATTTGTATCACCAATTAATTGGAATATTGTAAAATAGTACAATTTGTTGACCAGAATAAAGATTGGGACATATTATTCAGTTACAACAAGAGTGGTATTGAGCCTTTAAAGGGAATGTGGTTAAAGTTGCAATTGCAAATTTTCAAGTTATATTTTTAAAATGTATTAAATTAAAGCCTTAAAATAGATGGTATCCATAAACAGTCCTACCTTGTTAAAGAATAATCCTATTAATCCTATAATTCGCTATTGCCAGCTGAGAAATTGGCAAAAATATCATTTTTAACTTTAAATTCCAACGTTGGAAAATGGCTGCCCCATGTTGTCAATAGCAAAACAGGGGAGGTAATTGTGTTGTTATTTCCTGTGTCATAGATTTTTAAGGGTGGGAAATAATGCCCATGATCGTATAATAGTATTGAGCAAAAGACATAGAAATAATTATGTTTTGACTTTCTTAGAAAATTTGAAATTCTCGCTTTAAGGTCTTGATAACATGGTATGGTTCATTTTGAGACTAAACGTTATTATTCATTATAACCCCGGGCCCTAGTAATGATCGCTATACCATTTGCGCTGTGCATGGTCTGTGCGAAGATATTTATGTTGACCAGGATGTTACCAAGGATCGCATATGGGAATACAAAATAAAAACATAAGGTGCATTAATGCATTACACTATTTTCCTGAATCGTCGAATAAATTATTATCCATTATTTTCGAAATGTTGGCCCATTTCAATCAATATTAAAGATACATTATGGGAGATTAGATAAAGAGCTGTCAGTTATCACTATAATAGTTAAAATCTAGATAATGTAAAGCAAATTTGCTGAAAATTTTAGTCAAATTGATCCACTCTGAACCGAGATTTTAGCGATTGAATTTTCGGCCTAGCCTCGATCATCATTCCTAAAGTCGGAACGATAAAAAAACGTCGAACAAAAATCGGAACCTAATCAAATAAACATCTCAGAGTTAGCGATGACATCGAGAGTTGATTATGGTCTGGAAAAGTTAATTAATGTCTAATTAATAATTTAGATAACATTTCAGGCCCAAAGAAAGAACTGCAATAGACAGATTTATCTTTTGTATAATGTATGTTTAAAAGCAGTACACGGCATCATGTTCGCTATGGTTTCGGATGCCAGGTGTAATGAAGAAAGAAAAACACCCCCAACCTTGTGGCCACCAAACACTGTGAAAGTAATCAAAAATGGATGATTCACAAACGACAAAATAAAAAAAAAGCATGCAGAATCTACTGATGCAGGCGCAAACGACTGTCGTTCAATTAAACATGCATTATGCAAGAGCTAAATCTGTCTATTGCAGGTCTTTATTTAGGCCTGAAATGTTATCTAAATTATTAATTAGACATTAATTAACCTATCCAGACAATAATCAACTCTTGATGGCATCGCTAGCCTGCGATCTTTAGTGGATTATGAACCGATTTACTGCATAACTTTCCTTCACGATTTAACGAATAAGTGGAGAATCGTGACTATGCCGTTATCACGGCTAGCCGGAAATTTCAACCGCTTAGTTCTTGGTTAACAGTGGATCAATTTGAATGAAATGTTCAGCAAATTGCCTTTACATTATCTAGTTCTTAACTATTATAGTGAGAACTGCCAACTCGTTATCGAATCTACCATAATGTATCGTTAATTAATTGGAAATTAGATTAAAAATTAATGTAAACTACTATATACATTACTATGTGCCTTTAGATCCATTTTCGTCTGTTTTGAGATTCCCAAGAATAGAGCTATTATCCACTCAGCTATTGCAGACTACATAAATAACTCTTTTTATCTTAACAGACTCGTGGGTGATAAGTGATGCATGTACAGATGGAAGCTGTAATATACACCATCTTACTTGTAATAAAGGGAAAGGTATACAGTTAGGCCCTGCTTATTATGGATTTACTCGGTATGGGGTTGCATGTGACCGCCATTGTCGTGGTCAGAAAGTTTACAAGCCCTCAATTTGCTTTAAACTGTTTAGCAATGAAGATTATCATGACCTGAAACAGAAATGCAACAGACAAAAAATGTGTTACGTTACTACACCTGGCAAATCGAACAACATATCCTGCAAGAAGAAAATACACACCGTTTCCAGACTTTATTACTCTTGCGTTGAAGGTATTATAATCAAGTTTTCTTTTTGCAAATAGCAATAATATTAAAAAATGCATGATTAAGGCATGAACGTTCAGTAGGTTTATAAACAAAACAAACCCGTTAAACTGATCATAAGCGTAATATTTTGTCTAACTACATTGGTATTTTCAGCCATATCACTGTAACGTGATGTATTGCGATTGTTTTGAAGCCATACTATGTTAATATAATTTAAGCAACTAGACAAGAAACGGGAGAAACCGAATACACCGATGAGGGAATGTCAGGGTTCCCACTACCAACCAGCCTCAAAATTGGCGACATGACCGTCACTATAATTCACACAGTGGTCCCCACACCAATTGATGACTTAATGATCACGGAATCTACAGCAACAAGGGTTAGTACCAGCGGAGTAGACACAACTGGTACGTTAGGTATGTTGGATCATGAATCTATCTATTTTACATTCCTTTTGTTGACTTAATGGTCATTTAACGTGCACACAACGTTTTCTTCTATCCGAACGACTAGACGCTGTTCCTTGTCACATCATCTTTCCTGTATCACTGACAAGGTGAAACGACGCTGGCAAAACCAGAGGAAGTGAACAACCGCGTGGCTTACCGTCACAATAGGGGAGGGTCGGTTAGACTTATGTGCTGCAAATGATCCCGAGCAATGTACTCCCTTTTGGACACACAAATTAGGATCACTGGTCAAGTTTGTAACATAAATTAGTTACTGGAAAAAGAACACGAGATTGAATCCTTTGTAGCCCTGTTAAATAAGGCATTTATTTGCATTGAATTAGGGGTTTGGGATGGGTTATGCCAGGCTTTTTTTTAGACAAGATGAGGATTGATGCACCGAGCAGTTACTGGAATATCTACTATTTTTTGGGCAAATCATCCCATGAAGTCATATAACCAGGCTGCTTTCCTTACATGGCAGTACATTTTGCGCGTGGTTATAATCTTCGAAAAAGAGACAAAAAGTATGTAATGGAACAATGCTTGTCTTTATTCAGTGCAAATCATATACACACTTATTTTTGTTTAATTTCTAGATATACCCGATATAGTAGGAAGTGTTACTGGATGTTTCATTCTGGTGATATTATTGGCTATTATTATTCTGGTTGTAATAAAGAGGTAAGTAAACAATGTTAACCTCCGTTGGTAGCAGTATTTATTTTATTTCAATCTTGGATATTGTAAATTATACGTAATCTTGGCATAAACACCCATGGAGAAGAACCTATAATACGCAAACTAGTTATAAAGGCCTGACTCGTCATACGCGAAATGCCTAAAGAATGAGAAGGCGAGGAACTCAAGCGGCGGCTAGACCCCGCATGGTGATAGCACCACAGAGCGACAATATGCAAATCTTATACATTTGTATTATTTCGCAGTTTGTGTAAAACTTAATTCTCCATGGTTGCATAGTCCACGAAAAGTACTTTATTTTTTGCAGAAGAACAGTTAGTCGCCTTATTAGTAAACATATCCAAGGTAGTAGACTCGTGGAAAACCCAGGATACGAAACAACTGGCGAAAGTTATAACCATGTTATATTCTCGACAGACAACTCGTCATCAACAAGATGTATTGAGGCTGACGATTATAATCATTTACATGATGTCCGGAACAACAACTCTACGGACAATGCTAATAACTATAATCATCTTAGAATTCCGACTGGTAAAGATAAACAGTTTAGTGATGACTATAACCATCTCGGTGGGGATCAGGAGGAGAAGATAGATGATGATTACAGCCATATTGGTGTGGTGACGGGTGAGAAGGATGACTACAACCATATTGGTGGGATAAGGAGCGAGAAGATAAACGATGATTACAACCATATTGGTGCTGAAAACTTTCCCAGTCATGGAGAAAAGGATGATCATTACAATCACCTTGGTGATGTAAAGAAGCGAGTTTCTAATGGTGACATTAGCAGAGAAACAATTAATAAAGATGATTATCCTGATGAAACAAACTACACAAATATAAATATTTCTAATTACGAGAATTTTAGTCTTTAAACATAGAAAGAATTATATCCAACCCCGTACAATAAGTCCGTATTTCCCTTCAATTATCACACACAATTATGTTTAAATGTGTTCGCCCGTCTACAAGAGTTGTACATCGCGGGAAATATAATTCCTATTTATTTTAATTGTTGTCGCAGAAGTAATTCCAGATTTATTTTCCTTGACTGATATGATTATGAATTAAAAAACTTTATCGCAGTCCAACAGTTTCTACTGAGATTGGTTCTTGTCCGATTTTCCAAATCAGGTCAGGAATGGTTAATTATGAGTAACTATCATCCAAGAGAGGTAACTTTGTTACTAAACCTGGCAATATAAAATAATAAAAATTTAGGATTTTTCCCGCGCCACGTTACATATTATATGACGAGTTTGGTGGTATAAAACGTATTCTTCAAACTTAGTTTATTTTTTTATAATTTTTTGTTGTTAATTAACCATTTTGATTAAATATCGTCCATTTTTGGACAATATTTAATATTTTTTCACGACTTAAAATGTACTCAAATTGATTTTTTAAGTACACAGACCCCACTTAACAACGGTAGATAATCTCCATGTTTGAATTCAATCAAACAATTTGCCCAACACTTATAGGTGGCATTGTTTATATCCTCTGCAGAGGATGTCGAATTAGTTTTTTTCAGACCATAATATCTATAAATACTGAATAGGACGTTGAACCATTTTGGGGCTGATATTCCTTTTAAATTTAGTTCATAATATTATGCTTTTATTATTGTTTCTTAGGTATTAAATTATTATTTTATTATTACATATATATGATTATTGTTTTATTATTATTATTATTTTATTATTACATATATATGATTATTGTTTTATTATTATTAGTATTTAAACTTTTAATTGGGAGGATAACGGAACACACCCGATTAGAACACTGACTTTTAAACTTCCGTAAATCAACGAATAGACCCAATCATATATATTCTGTATACTTTATTGTTGATACTGTTGAATATAATAAAGAGTTGGTTATTTTCAGGGGACATTTTATTATTAATATTATTAAATAAAGAGTGTGAATGTTTTAGTTTCTCCCTCCTGTCAAATTCCGAGATAACAGATATGGGTGATTGTTTCTTTGTTATGTTTTCCGAACTAACTCCGTGAAACGGAAATATATTTTTCCAAGCTTAGCATGGTTAAAAACATAACAATAATGCAATTTGTCGGAACTTCCTGATGAACACCGGTTGTCTTACAGTGTGGATATGGGTTTTGGCTTCAACAATATTAAACAATAATTCCATTTTACGACAATAATTATGATATGCTTCACATAATTATATGGAAAAGTCAGGAGTAAGTGTCTGAAACTGAAAAAATAAAGTAAATAAGGCGAATTTCTATGTGCTCTCAAGTCTTTGAATTTGGCTGATATATTGTATATTCTACACCCTCGCTTTACAAGAACACCCCTGTGATAAAGTGTAATAATTACATGCAGCAGTTTAATTCAAATACCCCGTCATTGCAAACATGTCTACAATGGAGATAACTCCAGTGCTGCCATAGAAAATAAAGATATTCCATTTGATATTAGGCCCAGCTAACGAAGGTGGATATAGGGTTCATAACTATGAACTATTTCATAAATATTGTGTGTATTATTGTACATCTTCACGTTCAAATGCAAAGGAACGTTAAAAAGAAATACCCAGTATCAGATTAATTAACCCACAGTTACAGTACTATTATTTTTAAAAAAGAGTACAGTAAAGTGTCCTAGTAATTTATTAGAATTCTCATGAGAAAATTGTACCGTTAAAACCGTTACAAATATAATGCCCCTTAAAAGTTCCTACGGCAGATTATGAAACAGATTATGTCCACCGACTTCCCCCGTATCCACTCAAACGACATGTATGGTCATTTCGGAACTAACATATGGTTCAATTTTATTTCAATAATTCGCTTGCCCGTAGGGGACTTTAGTAGTAGGGGGAAACTGCAGGACCGGGAAAAAACCCACGAGGTTGACAGGCGACCCTATAACAGGGACAGACCTTATGAAACAACGTGCAAGCGCTAACCATTCGGCCATCCAACTCCCCGAGCCTTCATGATCCCGTAATTATATCTAATCAAAAATGCATATATAATTTTATTTATCTAATTAAAAATGGTTATTAGGTTCAGTTCTATGACCTATTTGTTGCCTATTATTTTATCAATACCTGTTCTGTAAGAAGGAACGGCATTGATGTTTTAAGGTTTAACTTAAAGCATAGAAGAAAATTTAAAAGGATTGAAATAGATCGAGTAATTGTTTTGGGACAGTCGCGCCCATTAAATAGACGTCGCAATTTAATTTGTCAAATCCCAATGAATAAATCTATAAGTAACATTATAAAGTTTTTATTGGTATGTGTCTAAGAATATATAGTAATAAATATTTTGCTGCGATGGTCGTAAAAGCTTGAAGTTTTTAAATTGTATAATGATACTAAATAGTGTTGATTTTTCTAAAGCCTGACAGTTCTCGATATAATAGTTAAAAACTAATGAAAAGAGCATATCTTGAAAGCTCCTTATCTAAATCTTGCATAATTCATCTTTAATGTGTTTTTAAGACTTTACGTGATTTATATTGCATGTGGGTAGTTATTTCTATTGATTGTATATCGGTTTTATCCCTATACAAGAATTGTCTATTCAAATACTGTGCGGTTTAATGTTACTTCCCTGTTGATTTAAAGTCACAAGATTGCTAACCTCAAAAACATTCATTTGCTTCTAATTGCTCTATGGAAAATAATGGCATCTTATACCGTTTCAATAAGCGTTTACCAGGTGGATTTATAATCACACTTGCCACTCGTTTCTTGTGATGAGATATTTCACATATGAATATAGATGTTGATATTATTGGGGTTTCAATGGATATGGATACGTCTCTAATTGGCACTTTGTTCTGGTTATCCTGGCCTTTCCAGAAAAATCTGCTTATTACCGTTCACCCGAATTTGGAAAAAATACAAACGGGTTCTCGCCATTCCAGACGGAGTAAGCACACATTGCTTCGTTGTCAACACATGTATCAGAAATTGCAGTCACAAGACTATCCATAATTTAAGAAGGCAACATATTGGTCCCTTTAAAACATACAATGACTTTTAAAACCTTTAAACGTCCTGGTTGTGTTAACACCACTATAAGACGCAGGACGTGCATGTATAACTGTGATACTCTGATATATAAATCACAATAATGTTTACTTCGGATATATACATGTACATTTGAGTCAAAGTTTTCATTAATTAATCAATAAGATTGGGTAACAAGGTAAGCATTTTAAAATTAATTATTCTCCATGTTTTCACATAGTTCAATGTCGCACAATGTGTTACATTAATTAAACCAGTTGCCAAACATTATGAACCGTAATTATGATGTATTATTAATCATAATTATAATATATTGTGAATCGTAATTATAACAACATGTATTATCATTTATTATTCATTGCACACATATTGTTTTAATATTTTGCCAGTCTACCAGTCTCCAATAAGAGTGTTAACATTCATTAGTGTATTATTTTTTATTTGGAACTCTACAATATTATTTTTAGACCCTCCCTCCACCCCGCACCCTCCGTCCCCCCCAACCGCATCCCAGTAGTCGTTTCCAATAGCAAGTACAGGACCAGACACAACTATTGGCGGTGGAAGAGACATAATTATAATTTGTAAATGCATGGCGTATGGAATATAAACCGGATTTGAAAGGTTAAATACACTGTATAATTATAACATGATTTGATAAAGACAAATTAGTAAAATATCAACAAATTAAAATATATCTCCATTTAATTTTGTTATTGTAGGATCGTCCATTTTACCAAGGAATATTTTAATGTGGCAACTGTTTTTAGTGATCACCCTTTTGCTGCTTCCAAAGGGACTAGGTTCGTTTTATTACTACACACATTTATTGTAGGTTTATTTGAGTTCATTTGCCTTGTTAGTATGCATTCGAAACTTACGCTGTTTGTCTTCAAACAGATACGAAGCTAGTTGACCGAAATTCTAATTCCAGCATGGAATTATGCCGCTTCCGTTTAATGGAATTGAGAGAGATTTTTCGACAAAAACTAGGTCATTTTGGGATTGACATATGGTTCAATTTTATTTCAATAATTCGTTTGCGCATAGGGGTCTGTAACAGTTGGAGGAAACCTGAGTACCCGCAGTAAACCCACGAGGCTGGACAAGCGATCTTACTCCTTGTCACGTACAAGCGGGGAATCGAAACCACGTCACTTGACTCAATGACAGGCCTTACGATTTCACGCGCAGGCATTAAACCACTAGACCACCCCTCACACACACACACACCATACTTGTTTATTTGGGCGACGTTTGGAAGAGTATTCTGTCAACGGTGTCAAGCTAATACAGTTTGAGTCTTGTCCATATTGCACATATCATCTAACCCATGATTTATGATTTACTAGGTGTACTCTGCCTATCATCTTGAGGCTAACCCATGATTTATGATTTACTAGGTGTACTCTGCCTTTTGTAATGTCAAATCCATTGATATATTCGAGGGAGCACAACACCTCGTCCCCGAACAACCGTTATGGGACCCTTTACGCTCATCATTTGGCTTTACAAACATGTGGTTATGGTCTTGTCGTCATTTTAAGACTAACCTGTAATGTATTATTTACTATGATGATGTGCATAGTGCGTTTGTGCCTAGACATAGTTTAATTTTAACTGCCATTAAGTCTATAATATTCTGGCAATATACCTTAAATGGGAACCGAGTTGGAGATGTCATGTCAGCAATGCTAGTGTTACCCTTTGCACACTGCATGGTCGCTACGTGTGTATGTAGATCAGGGTGTTACAGTGACCAGTGTTTGATTTATTAGTTAGGTTATACGTGTGCATGTACAGTATATAGGTTGTTGGTTGTATGATCTGAATTATTAACTTGTAACATAATTATGAAAACAGTAATATATTACACAAATTATTGAATTTCTTCTTACATTTTAAAGTTTTTGAAAAGAGTAACTGTTGCCGAATACAAAAACAACTCTTATATCTTAACAGACTCGTGGATAAGCGATGCATGTAAAGATGGAAAATATACTACACACAGTCTTACTTGTGATACAGGAGAACATATACAGCAGATAGACTGGGCGTATCATGGATATACACAGAATAGAGAGACCTGTAAACCTTTTTGTTCAAAAGGTTTAAATCCTCCATTATGCGTGTTTCAGTTTAGCAAAGATTACTACGATGAGTTGAAAAAGAAATGTATCAACCATCAAAGATGCAATATTACCACGCGTGTTCTGTCAGATGGTACATACTGCTCACTGGAAGGGGGGGATTACGATTACGACTACCACTATTACTGCTTTTCGAGTATTTATTACAGTTGTGCACAGGGTATAGTATTTAATTATTTTTTTCTTTTTGCATTAACTTTTTGCATTAATGAATGACAATTTTGCAAAACTATTACATTTTACAGAACAGCATGATTTCGTCGTGAACCTTTATAAACAAATCAAAACTGTTTTGTATTCAAATTGATATGTCGCTGGTTTTATGAAGGTGAACAACAACACACAATTGGAAACAAAGTTCAAATTGATACAAGGGTGTTTTAAATCATATTACTCAAACATGATACAGTGCGTCGGTTTTATTGTCATACTTTGTTATAAACGATAATTAATATTTAAGCACCTGAACAAGAAACAGAAATACAAGAAACCGAATATACAGGGTTCACACCAGAGGTCACCATGCTACAGAATCTACTACAAAAGCTTCTGGGACCAGCACAGTCCAGATTTTGTCTACAGAAAAACTAGAATATTCAGCTAGTATGTATAAACAATATTTGACCACGGTTATTTATCGAATGTTGACCTGTCTATTTTTCCTTTTTTAGATGACTTTTTTGATTGACAATTTCAAAAATTGCTGAAAAGCCTGTTTGATTTGGATAATAATCCCGAATTAAAGACGGAGGTATATGAACGTCAACATGTGTGACATGGGAAAGTGAATAACAGTATGCTATTATAGTGTTATGTATTTATATGTGTCTAGCTCATAATTCTAGAGTTTTGTCATGAAAACTAGCTGTGACACTAATATGGCTCTTTTGTAACCCCTAATGTGTCAGATATTTTAATACTATATGCGCCCAAGGAGCTGATATAGATTACGCTACTTTTTTTCAAGACCCACCCTATCCCATCTCTATCAAATACTTACTTATTGACAATAATATATTTATATCACAAGTTAAAAGTAACGTAATAACGAACTCATACATAAATTTTCTCGGTTACACCCCCTCCACCCACATACCACCCACCGGTTTTGTCAAATAATCCTAGTCTTAGACATAATAATAATGTTACTAACCTCACCTGGGTTCCACAGATAATAGGACAATCTCTATTGCGCAGGATATAGTATCTGTACAAACAGGTGGCATTATGTAAATAATACCGCGATGCATAAAAATTGATACATATTGTTGGTTAAATTCTAGATATACCCGTTATAGTAGGAAGTGTTACTGGGTGTTTAATTCTGGTGATATTATTGGTTATAATTATTCTGGTTATAATAAAGAGGTAAGGAAACAATTTTTTCGTTGGTATTTATTTCCTTTCCCAACTACCGTCCTTGAACATGTACCGTATATACTAATGATTACATTATGTTTACATATCTATATTACGTGTACCCAGGAGCAACGCCTTTGGAGGGACATTAACAGCACCATTGGTCACTGTATCTCAAAAGGCACGATTGCGCATTTAATAACAAATTGGGGAGGTAAAAACACTTTTTTAAATTGCTAGACGGGAATCTGATTTACGACTGTCCCATGGTAGAAGCGGGCGTTAACACCACAAATGAACGATCGATATTTATATTATTTTGCAAATTATATTAAATCGTCAGGTCTGCCTTATTTATTGCAGAAGAACAGTTAGTCGTCTTATTGGTAAACATTTAGAAGACAGTGCTAGCGTGTCAAACCCAAGATATGAAACAACTGGCGAAAGTTACAATCATGTTACATTCTCGAATGACGACCCGCCATCTACACGAGGTATTGAGGCTGACGATTATAATCATTTACATGAAGTCAGGAACAGCAACTCTACGGACAACGCTAAGAACTATAACCATCTTAGAATTCCGACTACTAAAGATAATCAGTTTCATGACCACTACAACCATCTCGGTGACGTAACGAAGAACAACCAACAAGGTAACGTAGGAGAGGTGCCCCACACTGACTACCACCATCTCGGCGATGTCAAGACAGAGGAGATCCAAGGTGACTACAATCATCTGAAATCGGAAAGGGAGCAAATGCACGTTGATTACAACCACAAGCAGATAATTGATGACTACAACCATATTGGCGAATTAAAGGAGCGGAAGATGAATGATGACTACAACCATATTGGCGAAGTAAAAGAGGAGAAGATCCACGGTGACTACAACCATATTGGAGTTGAAAACTATCCAATTAAGGTTTCCAATGGTGGCATTGATAGAGAAATAATACGTAAAGAAAATTATAAACTGAATTCTAATATTTCTAACTACGAGAACGTTTCTCTTTAAACATACAGGACGTATGATTAAGTAATAATTAAACTAACTCTGTTCAGTAAGTCAGTATTCAACATTAAATTTTTATACACCAGCATGTTGAATGTGGACTTGTATTGTCGGTTTCCGCCCGTCAAGACTATACCCACTCGATAGAGTTCCTAAATAAGTCTCCCCCAAAATGTGTTTATTGTTCTCCAAAGGTGGCTTAGTCGAGTTTCCAAATATGTTTAGGATTAGTTAATCTTGAATAAAGATAATCCCTATCCAGTGTTGTAAAACAACCGTGTTTTACACTGTCTGCAAACTGGCACGAAAAAACAAAAGGTAGCAATCTCCCTCGCTTTCGTTTTTAGTTATTGACTTTATTTTTATTTTTAATGATTCTTAACTTTATAAGTTTTGTTTTATTTATAACCTTGTTTTATTAACTATACGTTTTTAATTAGATATTTTTGTTTAAGAGGTGAGCCGATATTGTAGAATATAATAAGGGGTTTGATATTTTTATTTTCCTTAGAATTACCCCTTTTACGTTTCTGTCTCATTTCACCTATTTCCACGTGGTCTTAAGTCTTTACATTTGGTTAATAATTGTATAAGCTACACTATATACCACTAATATGCAGAGATAACATGACATATTAATTTCATATATTTTATTAACTTCATGCAACAGTTTCCTTGAAGTTTAATGTATTTTCTACAAGTTATATCATAAAACTATCACAATGATGGAAGAAATGGAAATTTATATATATTTGATAATTGATTAAACATTGAAATTACAATGTCAGCAAATATTTTATATTAATATATTCAAAACTTATCTGTGAAAACAGTTTAAACTTGGTGGTATGATATTCAATGCTAGAAAGATGATCACGTAATGGGGAGATAACTCCAATGTTGCTAAAGAAGATTCTGTCTATGAAAATGTTAAAAGTTTCCCTTTCAGTTGATCACAGATTCAACTAACGAAATTCCAAGTGTCCATAAATGTTAACTTTAGTGGCTGTTTGGTAAATATAATGCCATTTTGTATTATTGTTTTCTATAAACATCTACCACAAAATAGACGGTTGAAATAATAATCAATTCCTCAGTAAAATATGTCGTTAGTATAAATAGTACATCTTATTTGTATTACTGTGGTATATACACAAAATATAAAATCACAAGAAACTGCAAGTATTTATGTTCAATTGCAAATGAAATGAAATGGGGTTTAACGTCCTATTGTTCTGCTCCGGACTAGGCTAATGAAGACGGACACACGCCATACAGTGTGCTCATTCTGAACATCTGAGACACGCTACCTGCGGAGAAGTATCTCAGACACAGTCAGTTGCCATGATATCCATATCACGTGATCTACACATCACAGATCATGACATTGGCGTCAATGGGTCAAGAGGTCAACATTGTAAACAATAGGTTTATCTTCAGCATTGTGTCCGTTGCACCCATAAAGATTATATAATTCGTACAGTCCCAACATTTTCTCTCTTCTTCCAATGATTTTTCACAAAAATAACATCTACAACTCATAGAATTGACGTTGTCTTCAATGACCGCGTCTGCGAGGGTTGTTCATAGAGGCCGCCATATTGCACTATTTTGTGCGTCGGTCGGCACTCGGCAGACCTCGGCAGATTCCGGTACCTTACATCTAGCCTCGGCTGTATGACAGTAAGTGATATGTACCTACGCCTATACATTTGCGATGCGGCACTGGTTTACTTATAAGGGAAACTTGCCCGCGTTTAGAAAGAAGTTCTCAAAATTGCGTCGTTCGAAGAGTGTGTGAATTTTCAGTGCAAATTTGTCCTTGTCTAAAGAAAATCGGATAAACTTGAAAGATAAAACATTCTTCAAATACGTCGTCATCAATGACGTCATTGGTCGTCATGGACAACGCCATTGTAATCCGGGAACTTGAAAGTAGTTCTAATGGCGGACTTTGTCATACAGCCGAGATTAGATGTAGGGTACTGGAATCTGTTGAGGTTTGCCGAGTGCGTCGGTCGGGTCTATTTCAGATATACACAATCAATTCTGTTGATGTTTTTAGCGTTGGGATTGACTAATAGTTAATGTGTTTAATATTTTAAACTTTAACGCAAATTTAGAAAATAGCAAAAATCTGGCTGGGATTACTGAGCAAAATGGCCATTCACTGTATACGTGCGAAAAAAAAGCTAGCCACCAATTAATTTTCGTACGTTAGTTACGTACGACAGTGTGCTATGAGGGAAATTTTGCTCGGACAGCGGCACTACGGCTTACTCTTATATTGAATTCCAACTGTCAAGGATCTTTTACGTGTACGCCAATTTGTACACTGGACCACAGTTTTCCGTCCCACCCGAAAGACTAGACAGTTGTCCTTGCCAGGCCCTCCGCCCTGCATCACTGACAAGGGGGAACCACGCCGGAAAATCTGTATGAACTTTCTCGGCCAATGCAGAGGGATCGAACACCAGACCTTCAGGCTAGCGACCCAGCGTCTTACCCACTTAGCCACCGTGACCCCCCAATTGCAAAAGGAAAAGAGGATGCAATACACGACATCTACCAGTACGCTTTTACATATTAAGGGTAAACTCCCGTGCCCCACCCCCACCGTAAATACATTATAAATACGTTCATGCAAAAAGGGGAAATACCTGACCCATTTAGCGTACATTTTTAGCACCATTCTTTATACACCCCACCAAACCAACAGATATCATAGTGTTCCCTGTCAACCTCTTAATATTCATTTAGGAAAATCGTAGTGTTCTGGTCTGATATCCAGTAGCAGAATTCAGTAAGATCACAACCAAACTCCCAGAAATCGCCATGTGACTATTTTGGTATAATTTTAAATAGTGGTTACCATTGCCTTTATATCTATTGTTCTAGATTATATATTTCTACATTAAATTTTGTTTCTAGCTTAAAGTAAGGAATAAATACGTTTGTTTTAAACTGTATAAAATATAATCTTTAGGGAGAGGGGATCAGATGCTAGATTTTGTTTTAATTAAATGAAAGATTGATTGTGAGCGGTTTGATAGATTATACCTGTTTATTATTGTGACTTTCCAACAAACGATGGCTGCCACAGAGCACTGGGACATTCATCCTGTTTCATTTAAATCTATTTCAGAAAACTAATCTTGACTCTTCCAAAGACACAAGGAAGCCGTGGTGGCTCAGTGTGTATAACCAGCGGGTCTCGCTCCCGGTGTTGACCAAGAAAGTTCCTCGGGATTCGGATGGGACAAAAACGCGAGGTAACTTGTACACATTGGCGTGCGAGTAAAGGAACCCTTGGCAGTTGGAATTCGAAATAAGAGTATGGCGTAACGGCGTTGTCCGGGTCAAATTGCACACTGCTTGGTGTATGCCCGTCTTCATTAGCCCAGTCGGTGCAGAGATGTTCCTGGTGTTAAACTCCAATTCATTTCATATCCAAACAATCAAAACAAGACACAAAGATATATGTAGTCAATAAGTAAGCAGCAATCAGTCAATAAACTGGTTCGACTAGCATATCGTCCGACAATGTTCAACCGTACAACCTCTTCAGTTCCCCCACTAAGCTCAAGCGAATAATTGAAATTTAATTGTGCCACAGTATGTCCCGAAATGACCTTTGTTGTGTCGATTGGACGTTGAACCCTCTCCGGGATTAACGTATCGGCCAAGCGAAACTGATATATAATTCAACCTTAGACGTTGTTCAATGAGCTCCAAGTCGCGCCAAGAAAGATCAATTGATCAATTGATATTTCGTTCAGATAGCGGGTGTTCTGATGAATTGACAAGCGACATGGAATTTGAAGAATATTCTAAAGTAAAATCAAGGATGAATTGTGTATGGTCATCTTAGCCATACGAATAAACCCAAACTGGATGTTACACAGCTATACAACAGCAACTGTTGGTCCTACTCGGTCCATTCACGCAACCTGTTAACGTTGGGGGTGGGCACTGAGTCCAAAGTGTAAAACTGCGAAACAAAACGTATTAGTTCTTGAGTGTTCTCTAAAATACGAGAATAAACTTTGCCCGCGGATTACATGATAAAATAATTTATGCAGCTCATGCAGCACAAAGAAAAACCCTCCTATTCTACAGAAGACATTAAATTGAAAACATCAATTATCTCAACCTAAATCTATCTGCTAGTTCATTACTTTATAGTCCTGCAACTATGGCGGGAGCTTTAAATGTTATTACCGTAACACCTTCTCTACCTACAGCTACCTTACAATCCCTTATAAAATAAAAAAAAGACTCTTTCCCGGTTAAAGGTGCATTCTTAAATGTTCGCTCCATGAGGATTTTATCTCCACGAACTGGACTTATAACGACCGACATACCCTATGCAATGTGCTACTAGAGATTTTTTCTCGGACAGCGGTGCTAAAGCCTACACTTTATTTTGAATTTCAACTGTCAAGAATTATTTTACGAGTATGCCACGTGCACATCCAAACGACAATATCGTGTTCCTTGTCAGGCCTTTCGTCCTGTATCACTCACAAGAGGAAACAACGCTGGGAAATCCCGTGGGTTACCTGGTTAGAGAGCTCGTTCTATGAGTGTTGCGTGTAGGTTCGAAGGAAATCTATAAATATAAATGGAGAAAAAAATATGTTATATACATATTTTCATGTTACATCATGGCTGTTCCTACTATAATAGTTCAAAAATAGACAACAAGAAATGAACAGATTGAATATTTCAGTTAAATTACTGTATTCTGAGCGTATTTGCCGTATCTCGGCTAATGTTTACCATAAGGGGTCCAGATATGACAAAACACCACCTATTTCCGGTATGCAAATGAATCGGCAATTGGAAAACGTTGTTATTAAATTAACATCGGATAAAAATTTAGGTTATTTCAAACATTTTTCTATTCTATATTATCAAATTATTCGAAACGTTTTAATCATTTAAAAAAAATCAAATAATATATATATATATTATTTTTAAAAATCCTGTATCACGTGCAGATAATTGTGGGTTTTTTTACCATTATCCTCTAGCTTTGTAATGTTTGATCTTGAATAAACAAATTACGTCTGGGATATGATCTAAAATAAAGTAATCAGGTTTTTGTTTACCACATCAAAAATAAGCTCGGGGGCTACAAATTTTACCAGCATCGATGTTATTTTTAGATGGGGGGGTTGGATGGCTGAATGGTTAGCGTGCGCGCGCTGTATCATAAAGTCTGTCATTAAGTCGACTGGCGTGGTTTCGAATCCCCGGTTGTACGTGGCAAGGAGTAGGGTCGCCTGTCCAACCTCGTGGGTTTTCTCCGGGGCCTCCGGTTTCCTCCCACTGCTAAAGACCCCTACGCGCAAGCGAATTATGTAAATAAAAATTAAACCATATGTTAGTCCCGAAATGACCTAGTTTGTGTCGAGTGGACGTTAAACCCCATTTCTCTCTCTCTCTCTCTATTTTTAGATGTAACCATAGCCTTTAAAAGAAATCTAGATAACGCAAGGGGCGTAAGATACACCCTTGAAGCACTAAGGGCTTTAGGTGAACGAGTTGCCAAACGCGTGCGCTTTAGATCATAAGGTCTAAGTGTTGTGGCTTTGGTTCCAAAATTGCACTAGAGAAAAAGTATGGTCACCTGTCTTACCGCGTGGGTCTTCTCGTGGTAATCTGACTGATACAGACCTCTGGGGGCAAGCGAATTTTTAAGATAAAGATGAAAGTTAAATCACCCCCTTCTCTCTGAGCAATGAATCTTTTTTTTTCTTTTTTTTTTGATTTTGTGTAAATTGTTGCCCAATTTCCGTATTCTATTAGTTTAACGAAAGTAGAAATAGCAAAGGTGGGCGGTAAAATGGGGTTTAAAGTCCACGGGATAAAGTATATCTTTATTTCAGAAAACGATCCATGGGTCGTCTGTCAGACATGGAAAGCGGCGGACATACCCTAAAACCAATCGCCACATCCGGCGTATGATCCATGCACTCTTATCTTACTACATATCTTGGAACAATCATTGATCGTCTAATATTGTCTCTGGTTGTATTTGTAATGTCAGTCCTTGGGCCCCAGGTTGTATATCTTTAAATGTCACCTTGACATCCATACGTTGTTAATTTGTTATTTTATTCATGCCACAGCTAGTTTCTACATAAGTCATTCTCTCTTTCTCTCGATCCCACCAAATTCGTTAGTGCGAGTTTGCCGATAGAACTCGCTACGGCTAAATCTATTTGTTAAGGCTAGCTCAATTTTTGTCATTGTCGCCGAGACGTAAATACGGTTGATGACACCAAAATATATAACTACTTTCAGCACAACAACTATCTTGCTTCCAAGGATTCTATCAGTATACTAGAGTCTTGTAATGACATTCGAGGATGAATGACCAGAAGTAGGCTAAATCTTAACGATGACAAATCCGAATTTCTTGTCATATCATCAAAGTCACAATCCAATAAATTGTTTAAAGCGGATTCTATTCAGATCGATGATTGCTGTATATCTTCCAAGAAGCAGGCTAAAAATCGGCTATGTGACCGACGAATTTATGTCCCCAGTTCCCCAAATCAAGAGTATCATAAGGAAAATGCATTTTCAAATGAGAGCATTAGTAACATCGCATATGGACTATGTAGATTCACTTCTATTAGGAGCACCAGAAACAGCTTTAAACAGACTACAAATGGCACAAAACAATGCTGTACGTCTCATAATTAGAACACGAAAATTTGATGATATATCAGCTAAGTTACAGAAACTCCCAGTTCGAGCGAGGGTTCAATTTAAAGCTCTTGTAAATGTGTTTAAATTAATTTATTCTGACAATGCACCCAGTTATTTCTATACTCGCCGGCGATCCAACCTTTGTTCTTCAAGTGATCGTAACATAAGTATTGAGGATTCCTAAATATAATAAACGTTCTGGTGATTATGCTTTCTCCGTCAGAGCAGCTAAAATGTGGAATGATCTTAAAGACTAACTAAAAACATATTTATTTCAAAAAATGTTTTTGAACGGTTTTGTTGTGAATGCGCTTAGAAACACGCATGTGTAATGAAACGCTATATAAACCGAACAATAATAATAATAATAATTTAAAACACAGACGTTACACTACTCAGACACCCATCCACAATTTAAAGAACCATTAGTTGTGAAGAAAAGAAATTGCTCTGCCAATAATGGATTCAAATTGGCTAGCTCCTATTACATAACTAATGATGCAATTTCGTAGCCGATTGTTTCTTTTTAGATTGATTTGTCGATACGTCTATAATATATGCATTCACTATATAAACGTGGCTTTCGGGAACGTTAAGAGGGGAAACTGGTTATAAAGTGGTTAAAGCTTGAAAAGATACCTTCGGATATATTAGTGACATAATGCATATAAACACTGGGATTATTCACAAAAACATGTTTTCACTAAATAGCACCCGCATCTGTTCATTACTTGGATGTTGTTATGTAAGGGCTGAATCTGCCTATTAAAGGTATTTTCTCACTTGAAATGTTCACATCCCAAGCCCATAATCAACTCTCTGGAGCACTGGATTACTAAGATATTAGGTGAATTAGCACAAGAGTTTCCTCATATGGTCGTTAAACTGGAACATCGAGATTACATTTATTATCGATGTAATGGTACTTGGCAATCGAGAGTATTTAGCGTTCTTTGTTGTCAAAACTTCGAACATTTATAACATCGCTCAGAATAAAGTATTTTGACTGAAATTTGAAATATATTTATTGTTCCTTATCTGTTTTTTTTATAAGCAATATTTTATTCAGATTTGTATCTGAATAGGGATTGGGGAACAGGCATAGCCTATATTAAACCCCTCTCCCTAACCCCTCTGGTTACAACAAGAACCACCAGATCTTTATCTAAATCTTATATAATCCATATTTAATATAACCAATGATAAATTTAATCTCGGAATTTTCGAAAAGAAATATGAAATTGTAAAGTTACACAGTGCAATATATTCTATTCACAGGCACTTTGATTTTTAACTGTATGTGACGAGCATAAACTATTTGCTTCTTGTATGTATAATAAATCTTTAATTTAAATGCACAGCTATGGGTAGAACACAGATGCAGTTTTTAAGAGAAATGCCTAAACTTATTTTTTAACACATACCAAGACTGACATTTCGTCAAGCTGGTCATATATTTTTATACATGATACAGATTGATAATACACTATAATTTTACCTATCTAAATTTATTCTTAAATTTGTTAGTAAAGTTATCGGTTGTGCAGCTAGTGTTTTGATTATGCAGTTGAATATGCGTCAGCGTATATCAATCATATCAATGAATGGTTCCAATTTAAACGGATTTATCAACTATTCGCTGGGTTATATTGCCGACAAATACGTGAGAAAAATACATTATGAATGTGACAAATACGTGATAAATACATTATGAATGCGACATCATTTTAATTTTAATATATTATCATGCTGTCTTCTATCCACGAGCTTTAGAATAAGCTGGAATCTGAAAAAATTTCTTCAATTGTATTCGGTGTTATTGTCTTTGACTTAGTCAAAAATAAAGTCCATTGTAAACTGAGTCGGTTTGTGGATCTACATCCATGCGATCCCAGAATTGTATGCGGCGTTATTGTCCTTGACTTAGTCCAAAATAAAGTCTACACATTTCATTCGATTTTTAATATAAACTAAATCGGGTTGTGGGCCTATATCCATGCGATCCCAGAGTTATGTCCAGTTGTTACTTAAATTGAGGTTTATCCTTGTTTGCCTGTTGCCATTTCCGAAACTTCAAGTGGCCCTATGTTTTGAAGACGCCACAGGTTCAATATTTACTCAGAAATAAAAAGACGAAAGAAACGAAAGTATGTAACGAAATATGGCAACCTCAGTCTATATCGTAATTAGGCAGAGAACACATAAAAAAACTATCATTAACACATTCATAATATTAAAAAATACCAACTGCGAAAAGCGTATTTTACTAACCGAGGTCTTCATAAATTAGTAAAAGGTCTCAAATAGGTCTCTGCCAACAGTTTTTGTTTTGGCACAACTTTGATGATTTGTAATGACTTCAATCACCAGTTGCTCATTCAGCGCATTAAATGTCAAGCTGACCGGAGACAGAATGCAATCTAGAACAAATACCATCGATTCTATCAGATATTTCCCAATCCATCGTTGCTTCGTGAACCTTAAATTGCCTGTTCATTGATAAGCCTGCACGGTGATTATATAACCGCAGTCGGTATATCAGAATCTTGTTGACCTTAGCAGACAGAACAGAAAAATTATAGGTTAAATGGCAGTATCGTATCTATGTTACAACTGAATATATCAATATAACTGAAAGAGGGTTTTACATCTTACTATTCGACATCAACCGGTCAAATGAAGACAGACATATTCCATGCAGAGTTGTATAGAAGATATTTTCCAGGACAGTGGGCGTTTCCGCCTCTCTTCATGGAATTCCAACAGTCTCGTTTAGGCGTCCTTCCTTATCGGGCCCCCACCCTGCACCACTAACAAGGGGGAAACTAGACAGAAAATTTCGGATATTGAACCAGAGAGAGCTATAAATATAGCTTGCAGATAGGAATGTTAGGGCATAATGCGTTTTCCCGAAATGCAAGTATGTCACAATCATGTTGGCATTGGAGGTCTTGTAGGTGTTTCATCTGGGCCAGTTACTTTGTGGATATAACGTTTATTTTTATTTGAATAATGGATGTGGTCTGACAATATAGTCAGTATTATAGATATCACTTCATTTTCATTGTAGAACGTGAGAATTGGCGATTTAATATGTTGAATTTTGTTTCAATATGTTAATACAGTAAATGTGTACTGAGTCGATCCATCAATGACTTTGATTCCCAGGACATTTGTTAATTAGGATTTATGTATATTTGTATGTGTCCCTCCCTTCCCTTTAAGTGGACTGTATCTGCTTCTCATTTTGGTCTTGATAGTTGTTTCACTTTAATGAATCCATGGATGTTTAAATCTAAATGATGGCATTAGGGATGGTACTGTTTGCTCGCGGACTTTTAATAAGTCCAATTTTAGGAATTCCCACAGGAAATTGACTGTGATTTCTACATCAAATTATATTTTCATTTTTAATGGCTAGCTGATTTCTAATGTTATATCCAAATCGATGTATACGGTGTCAGGGTATGTGTAACATAATACATAAACTCATTTTATTAGAAATATACTTTAATGCTGGATAACATATTTACAGGTACAGATAATGCTGGATAACATATTTACAGGTACATATGGTGAAATCTATCTGGCTCTTGTCCCTAGGTCTGCGAAGACCTTATTTCCGGGGTCCAAGGGCAGACCCCTTGCCTCATGGTCTGAGGGCAAGTTCTCTACGTCTCTCTCTGCCCTCGTCTTATCTTGTTTTCCAAACTAGGCTTATTTATATCGGCTATGGTATGCCATAGTTAATACCATTAGTATTCAGAACAATGAGACTTAATTATTAAGATTCACACATCCTATCTCTAGACAATATGTGTTAATGCTTGTTACCTAAATCTTATATCATAATATACTTGTCGGCTAAACATTGTTTGAACAACCCATCACATCTTACATAATACTGTTAATGCTTGTTACCTAAATCTTATATCATAATATACTTGTCGGCTAAACATTGTTTGAACAACCCATCACATCTTACATAATACTATGTCATCAATCCCCACACATACAAATTAAATCTAACATGTACATGTACAACAAATAGTGCAAGTGCTTACATTGAATATGTAAAATAAACCATTATCAAAATACCCAACAGTATTTTGTAACATATGGTTCACGTCGGTTTATACTTTTAGGTCTTTTGGTTAAGAATAGATCTAATGCATGACCCTTCGTTGTGGTGAACGTAACTTCTTCCAAGCTGCTGTCTTATAGACAAGTACGGTGTTATTTGTTGGCAGTGCAGTAGTTGATTGTGATTTAATGGGTTTAGATCTCCCCCTGGCCTAGTGATTATTTCTTTCTCAAAAGATTGTCTATAGTTTGTCATGTCTTCATATCACTACTGTGTGAACTATAGATGCCATCGGTATTAAGACATTTGTAATTAGATAGTAGAATTTTAACAAAGCTCGATTCAGTGTCATTTTGTGTCTTTAAGATCTATCTCATGTTACTTTTTTCTATTATTAGTACCACTACGTATCCGGCCTTCCTGTCGACTGGACTGACATATCGGCTTCATAGGCTTTTAACGCTAGCCTTGACCCTAACCAAATCACATTCACATCTGTCTGCAAATGGAGTCTTGCTCCGAAAAGCATTTTCACGCTTCACGCTATCTATTTGATGGACACTTAGGAGAACGATGTTTAAACATCACAGACACGCATATGACATTAATGGTATACATATGCATATAATTCTAGCATTAGGTTCTACTTGAGTTTTAGCCAATTACATTGCACAAAAACGCTGAAATTTTTGCAAATGACATTGATGTTCGAATATATGTTAGGAACTATGATAATGAAAGCAGTGGCTATAATAATGAAGGTATTTCTACGTTTTATAAAAATCCATTCACTGCAAGTAAAGTGAAGTTTCAAGGAATTACAACAGTCCAAATAAATACAGGAGTCAATATAATTATGATGGAATGGGGTGCTATTTAGAAAGATTACTTCTTTATATCCTAATTGCTTGATACTACATCTGTCTTTCTCATCTCCTGGGTTTACTAGTTTCTCTTTTGTGTCGTTTGTAGCTCTAACGGCCTTACCAGATTGCGTGATATTAGTGTAATCAATAAATCTGCTTGTTTTTTAAACATCTCGACGGGTTTTAGAAAGCTAACGAAAACAAAACTACGAAAGAATAGAAAAATTTCACTTAAATATACCGTTATTTGAATTTTAGACATGTATCAGTATCCGGTTCACCCTAGATTTTAATTCTCCGATGGCTCAGGTAATATATAAAGGCTTGACAAGTAAAAATGCATAGTTGGAGTTGACATACAGCGAATTACAAAGAATTTCTATCGCAGTAGCACAAAAATTGAATTGTGTGTTTTCGGTAACTAAACTAGCAATATGGCAACGAAAGTATTTCTGATGAATCCACTGGGTGACGAAACGTAGATTTCGCACTTAAATCATTCTTTTATCATACCGTGAAGCTAAAACTCTGGCCGAAAATGAGGTCAGATCGAGAGAGGACATCGCAAACTATGTGTATGCCAATGTTCATGCTTTTGCAACAAAGTGAATGATTCTGTAAAAATCGCCCCGAATTTAGGCCATTCCACTAATGAGGCTTACTATCCCCACCCCCCACGAATAGTAGAAGAAAACCGAGGATGATGGCGGATGTTTTACAGTGCGTGGAGGAAAGGCTTATAGCAGTGTCGAAAATATTATACGCTTCAGCCTGCCAAGCCTATAGGTAAATCAGTCCGACACTGAGTATAGGGCAGTTTTTTCTTTAAATAGTAATTCTTTGGTTAAGACTGCAGTTTGTCATGCATTGTAAATATTACCTTAAATATTTAATATGTATCCTGTCGAGGTTAATTATATCAGCTGTATACATATTTCATGTTTCTAACAACCAGGAAAGATGTATAACGAATGCCTGTCTTGATGATTATGGTTGGGGCAGATATTAAGACTTTAAACCCCAACTTTATTTCATTTCTCTGTGACTTCCCTTTCCCATTGATCAGAGAATTGGATTTAATATGAATTGTATCACTGATGTTCTAACATCTAAATCAATGAATAACATTGCGAATAGTTGATATTCTGTGGCTTTAAAGTACAAATTTGACGTCAGCCTTTTATGTTGGCGTACATTATTTATAGTAGTTGAAATATTGGACCTGCGTGACGTATTTTATTTAAATGCGCGTGCTGGATAGTCTCTGTATTTTAAGATGAATAATGGTATTGTGCAAGACATTGCGTAATATATAGATATTGCCCCCTGGCTAACGTCCTCGTGCAATAGCAGCCTTCGGCTATTAAGTGCAGAGTAAAGTGAAGCCATCTTGTTGCAAATTAGCCTCGACACCAACAAGGCTAAACATATCTTTTTCCAATACAGAATAGTGGACCTTGGATACAAAAGTCCAAAATAAACTATATTACTCAAAATACACTATTCCATTGTCAGTACCCCTTTAAATGGTACACCCGTATGATATCATGTAAACGTAAATTTCAATTTCATCACTTTCTTGCCCAATCGCGGTTACACCTACAGACAAAACGATAAAATTTGGGGACAGCCAAATGTATTACAGTAGTCATGTCTTAGATTTTCGAGTTGCTTTCCTGTTCCTAAGTGAGATTTCCCCATCCTTACTACCACACTGTTGGGGTCCGCCATTTTTTTATGATCTTGAAAATGACCCTTCATATCTTTAGACGAGTGACGCGAATAATCGTTAAAGTGACAGCGTTTACAGGAACACTATATCAATATGTAAGTTTTCATCTACATCATCAAATACACGATTATGCCGTATTTCGTTTAATAATAAAACACTTCATTGTTTTATAAACGTAAACATTGCCTTGGGTAACTATCGTCGTCTCCGATTTCAAAACGTCATTGACCTTATGCTTACATCAATGAGCAATTCATAATACAACTTTTTAAATATTTAATTTCAACAACTACGGAATAAGATTAATTCATATCAGAATACAAATGAGGTGTCATTTACGTGATATTAAAAAAATAAATTATTCATGAACTTATTGTCGTAAACATCACTTCCGGTGAGCGGTAATTCGACACAGAAAGTTAAATAAAGATACAGTAAATACCTTTTGACTTATACTATCACAATTATCGATAAATCAGTTGGTAAATCGTGATGTTATAGCATGACCTTCATTTGCAAGAACTGTCACATTATTTAGTATTAGTATTATTTATATTGAGAGTTCTGTAAATTGATCAAAACAGAACTGTCAAAATCTAAGCTGTCGTGGCTGCCGTTGTCAAGTGTTGGTTAATGTTAGCAAAAAGGCTTGTTTCTACATTTTGGATAGATTATTATTCATTTATGTTAGAATTATTACCATTTTGAGGGTTTAATATAGAATTTGTTACCTGGATAATTTTTATGAGACAAATTCTTTTATATGGAGGAGTATCATTTGCAACACATATTTTCCAATCAATCATTCAGCTGGACATTTCCACATTCAATAGTGGACTATTTGTGTACAATCCAAGATTAAACAATGTATTAAGTGTGAATAGATATTGAATAAAATTAATCATAAAATATTTGACTGTAAAACTTAATAAATACGTCCAATGTTTAATTGTCAGTGTAACTTTATGCTTCCATGCACAAAGTTTGAAGGGTGGATTAGGAAATTATAAAATTGTTAATAACGTGAAAATTGTAATGATGCAGTATTTACTATTTTCCATACAGACCCGAAATATTTAATCCAAATAATGCAGAAGATGGTACTCCATACTAGAAGTCTGAAAGTAGTCCCTTGGGGATATTTGAAAGAAAAGTTTGATTATATGAACTTGGTTTGCTAAAATAAAGATAGTTGTAGTGTATATATTCAGGTATCTATGTGAGACTTTTTGATTTCTCATGTTGCGTTGTTTACCCTGTAGCTGCGCAGTGCTGAATGGTATATTTGCTTCATATTTTCCAAAGTTACAAATTCCCAAGTCATTATTTTTGATTTGCATCCATTTTTTTTATTGTTCAGTATCATCTCAAGTACATGTAGACAACAAAATACAGGCACTAAAGGTGTTGTGAATGTTTTTCAGAATCCCCCCCCCCCCCGCATTTTAGGTGATGTGACAGTTTTTGTCACTTTACCTTGCTCTTAAACTGCACATAACCCCTGTTGTAAATAATCCACTACAAGCGTATTCAACTTCTATTCACAGCAAAACGTTCAATCCCAAATTAAATATCTATTGCTGGCATGATTATGTCTACCTCTAAAAGTATTCCTTAGATGTTATTCAGTATATTATATTAAAGATTGAACACAGTATGTACTCTAATCCTGTCAAATATTCAAATATTGTAATTTAAAAAAGCACTATATAAGAATTAATTAAAGATGAATATATTTAAAATTACTTTATTCTGAGCAAAGTTATGAGTGTCTGACAATATAGTCTCGATTGCAAAGTACCATTGCTACAAGAATAAACAAATATCCTGTTTAACGTTAAATTATTAAATCGCGAGGGGTATTTTAATCCATTCAATTTCACGTTCATCCGTTGATCTGAATACCTAATTAATCATTTAATTCACATTTGAAGCGCTGTATCATAAGGTCTGTCATTGAGTCAACTGGCGTGGCTTCGATTCCCCGGCTGTACGTGACAAGGAGCAGGGTGGCCTGTCTAACCTCGGATGTTTTCTCCGCGTTCTCCGGTTTCCTCCCACTGCTAAAGCCCCCTACGCGCAAGAAAATTGGTGGAATAAAATGGAACCATGTGTTAATCCCGAAATGACCTAGTTTGTATCGAGTGTACGTTACCCTCTCCCCCTCCCCCCCCCCCCTCTCTCTCTCTCTTCTGGACCTGTGGTCACAGACTTTCCGAAAACTTATAGTCGACTTTAGCTTAATCTTTGGAAACAAATAATTACTCGTATGGAGCTTACCATCAATCCTCGTAATAACACATCTGATCAATCCATTTCTGTACTTTATTTTGCGCTAAATCAAACAGATTTACCTCCTTTAAGTCGACATAAAGACTTGACCGGGAAATATGTCCCAGCAAACATTATACGGTGTTATAATTCTGTTGTCATATTCACAAAAGAGAAATAAATTGAAATGGGGTTTCACATCCTATTTTTCTGCACCAACCGGGTTAATGACGACGTGTACGCAATAGAGAGAAAAATGGACGATAAGGGGTCATCACAAATGACATACGATATATCTTTTCTTAATTAATTCTCAGCTGGAAAAATTGTTGGAAGTCTTAAAACAGCGTTTCCTGATTCAAGCTGTCCTTTAATCTTTTATGTAATCATCGGCCAGCAGTTATGTATATTTAATTATTTCTTCTGTGTTATTGATCGTGGTCATATGGCTATTGGTAACTATAGTCTAGTCGGTATATAGAGCTACGCTATCCGTTGTCTGTATCAGAAAGGTACACTACTTCTAAACACATCATTTAATATTGTCGATGTTATAGCTATATCAGTGACAACAATAATAATATACGGATGAACTAATTTGTGTAGTGATATAAAAAAAACCCACCAAATTTCGGTAACCACCATAGAAAAAGCTGTACTTAGTCTTGTGTAAACCTATTATTCAGAGAAAGACTTATATTTTAGATGTTATGTAATTGTGCGTTGATTTTAATGGAATACATCCACTTTCTATAGACACGCGGCATACGTGCGTATAATGCATCAGTGATCCCAGAAGGACAAATTCGAACATCGAGTCGGTATTGCAGTACATGTAAACTGATAAATAACTTGCCTAGCGTTGTTAACACTACTAATAGACTAATATCTGACAATTGGCTTAGAAAACGGTTAGTGTTTTATGCTATGCACTGTTATGTACAGTTATAGTACAACTGTCATGTAATATATATCAATTTACGAGGCACGGAATATCCCGTCAAACAATAAGATAAATCAAAGAGAATTCTGGAATGACTGAGTGGAATCAAGCTAATTAACCTATATTTTGTATTAACTACACAGATACAGGATTTCTTAATATCAAGTAAATATACCCTTGTACATCGTGGAACAAATAATCACAGAGTACGTCACAGCCTGGAGTGATCTGATCTTAATAGACATATCCTGGTAGATAATAGACCAGTATATTGACTATAGTGGAATACGGACGGTGTACGGATCTCTCGGCAGAAAAAGTAGGACTTCGTGAACATACACGCTTATCGTGCTGGAAATATCTCGAGAGTAATATGAAGTAGTACACACTGCAGATCATAACAAATGCGTGACATTGCACTTTGAAACTACTACGGATGGTGGCGAGGGGAGTACCCTAATTGTGTCTAAAGGTATGTTATTCACATTTTTTTAAATCTTATAAAATCATAAATGTCTTCCTATTTTCATGACGGGATGAATTAAGTAGATAACGAAACAGATATTGACATTTTTTAACCTTAATTTCATTCACAATATCTGTTCATTCATTTCAATCAGCTCATCGATTCTTCTGCCGGACATCAGTGTACTACACGCTATATCACATATTATTGAATAAAACGTTATGATTCCGCCATGCAATGCTATTTTACAGACGCCTTAAATGTATCTACGCAGTTAAGGGTATAGGAACAGACACGAACTGATTTTCCCATCAACTTTTACAGTTCTGCTATACCGAGTTCATAAAAAATCTTAAAGGCTCAATACCACTCTTGTTGTAACTGAATAATATGTCCCAATCTTTATTCTGGTCAACAAATTGCACTATTTTACAATATTCCAATTAATTGATGATACAAATTTCATCGTAACACACCTAATTTAAAAAATTGGAAAAATTCAACTAAATGATTTGAAAAGCCCGACGTAAAGCTTTTCAAATGTGACTTGGATTTAAAAATATTTTTGAACCCTCTGGACAAGTAAAATAGGATTTAATGGATAATTTACACAACAGGTAGGACACTAACACATCTAGTAATTAGAATAAGGCTATTTTGTATTTTTTGGAGCTGTCAAGCCAGCAAGAGTGTTATTGTCCCTTTAAACCTTCATAGTAATGGGCCAGACTTACATCTGCGATAACCTGGTTATGATTCGAATGCATACCCCTCGATAAGTTAACAAGGTTTCGATTTCGTATATACCACATTTGGTAGGTATGTTGTTTGGGTAGTGTTTTTATTCAGATTCGTTCAAAAGATGCACACTGTAGGGGTAGGTAGGTTAGCAGGACCTTAAAAGAGCATGTTTTGACAGTTTCTTCCATTCTGTTTTTTTTTTCATAAAGCAAATAATAAACATCAATTATTATTATTTGTCTTGGGCGGTTCTAATAGATTTGAAAGAAGCAGAGAAGGGTTTAGCCGTTTTCAACCATTCAATCGATTCCAACCAAATTTATTTATTGCTACTAAAAGAACGTTTTGTAGGATTGTTGTTTTGGAGGTTCCTATAAAAGTATATAAATAAATTTAGACAACTTGTGATATTACGGATGACCTAAACCAACCTACCGACTGACGATTAAATCCACTTTGGCCCTTTTTTAAAGGTATTTTCTGTATAGGTTACATGTACGTCTAAATAGTTTTAAATAAAAGTAGCTGCCCATTAATATTTTATATAAAACAGAACGAATAACGTCTTGAATGTTCTAGTTGCTGACTTCTGGTTTGTGTTAATCTTGGTATGTACTAGTATACCTTACTATCTTTGTATACATTGTATATAATAATATATTTTTTGTTTTGCACTCTAAATTCCGTTGATAAATTGTTAACACTGTATTGAATAAAAGTATTTATAGAGCACGGTGTACAACTAAGTGGTGCTATTACATTTGGGATAATATAAAAATCGTACAAAAGTAAAGCAACAACATAAATTATAATCAGTTGTAGGTTCTTGCCTTGCTCGCTGGTTGGTATTTAATGCCCGATTCCACAATAGTGCTATTGTAGAAATTGTTCTTAACAGCATGATGAAGATTTTATTTAACTGCAATGGTGTCAATTTATGCGACAGAACGCTAGCTTAGTGACGGTCTTTTTGCAGCAAGATTTGTAGCTTATATCGTAGGTCTGCCGTCCAACCTATTCCATTGCATAGCACATTAAATAGTTTGTGCACGTCTTCAATTGCAATAACCTGATTATAGCAGAAAGGGGGGTCGTTAAATCTATTTTAGATATTAAACACTGGACAATTTGACTGAGGAAAACTACACAGCGATTAGGCAAGGTATCGAATACTTGTGTCTTTGAATAATAAAACACCAAAGAAACTATATCTCCATACTGCAGTCCACCCAGCTGCAGTTCGTTGCCGTTGCCACCATTTGTCTCGGTTCCTTGTGCATATAACGCAGGTGAAACGGTTACGTATCCATTTGGTCTCCCATTTTCACATTGCACATATTTCATAACAGCCGATAAGTGCTGTGAAAACATATTTGTTTATATCGTTGTCTGTACGGTGGGTATATCATGTAGGCCTACCATTTTATTTGGAATAATAATTAGATCGCATGTTATAATTTAAAAACATCCAGGACACAACGGATACAGTGTAGCAAAAGTATGTCTTCTCAGGGGATGTAAGACACGGGTAATGAAATGCATGTCATCACACGAATCCCAGAGCATGACAAAAGGACATTAAATTCACATTACATACTTTAGAACGTCGACGTAATGTAGGATAATGTAATGCTCAAATGCCCATTAGCCCACAGAAAAGAGTCACGGTTCTGTTCTAGTCAACGGACTTTTTAATTTAAAGTTTTGTATAGTTTCGTTGTATTATGAGACGGCTGGGACTGTGACGTAACGGGAAATCAAAGATATTTTTCAGTGAATTGTGTGGAACAATCTAGAAACCTTTTTCTAGTCTCAAGCATATATCTTAAAATATGTGACGAGCTTCGTGATTAAAAAAAATCACCTTATATCATGATAAATCTGTGTATTACTAAAGACGCATAATCCTCCTGCAAACCTTCAGTTAATAATATAATATTCTAGTTTATTACTACATTAAAATTAATAATATAATATTCTAGTTTATTGCTACATTAAAATTACCAAGAAGACAACAGTTTTCAAAAGAAATTGCATATTCGCGTTTACTCGGCTACTGAGAAATTGATGGAGAACACTTATGTAGACTCTATAGGCGATCCTCCTATCTACAATTTGAGTCGATTTTTTTTAACATCTCGTCTTTTGATTTGCATACCCTTTCCTCGGATAAAGCTATCTTAACTATACTTTCAGAATATTACACTCGTTTATTCTTTAAGTAAACGATCGATGCCAGAGCTAACCCAACCCAACCGATTTCTACCCTTCTCCTTGATTTGACGGACTATCTGACAGATCTCAATTCAAATGATGTAGCATCCCTGACATGTCTTTTCGTTCGTTAAACAGGCTCGTAGCTAGCCCAAATATATTGGGAGCGAGGGGGGGGGGGGCTTCTGGGGGCACCGATGTACCTACACTTGTCGCTCCACAGCGAACGGTACCGTGGACGCTCCTCATTTTGGAGAAGGGTCTAGGGTGCTCTCCCCCAGAAAATTTTGGAAAATAGGGTTTGCAACTATGAAAATGACTGAAAATTTCAATTTTGAGGCGCCCCCATCAATCAAGTTGTGGTGTTAATCGTGTGATTCATTGTGATTCATTATGAGGAGCCTCACCATTTGGGGAGCGCCTCATATATAACGACATGTGTGGCGACGTTCCCATAAAACTAAGTGACATTGGTTGGGCGCCCCACCAATCTCGTCGTGGGACCCCAACTAATGTCGGTCGGCTTTATGGGGAGCCCATACTGATGTGGGCACGTTGGTCGTTGGCTTCGTATTGCCTTCGACGCCCATTAAAGGTTTGCCTGTTGTTTTATGTGAAGTCTAATAAACGTTGATGTGGATTAGTTCCGCTTGTATCATGCTGATTGATAGCATAGAATAGAAGTGAATATAGAAGTCATTTGATGCTGAAAATGAAATAGAGTAGACAAGCTGCATAGATAAAGTCATGTCTGTTAAAATATAAAATATCTAGCGTACTTGTCAGATGTTATATCATTTAACATCGCTGTTCTCACATATTTTTTGGAGTCGCGGTGGCTCGCTAACCAGTTTCCCGGCTTTTTACGGCTCGCTCTCCCCTTCGCCCTGGTGTAGGATAGAAGGGCCAGGGAAGGATAGTGTCTAGCCGTTCGGACTGGACGAAACACCGAGGTCCCGTGTAAAATAACCCTTGACAGTTGAAATTCAAATACTAGTAGGCTGTAGCGCTCGTGTCCGGGCAAGATTTTCTTCATAGCACACTGTATGACGTAAGCCCGTCTTCATTAGCCTAGTCGGTGCAGAAAAATAGAACATTAAACCCCTATTTTATTTCTCCTATTTTTCTCCACCAAAGTTCCCTTACTTGTTTTTTCACAGTAACCATTGACTGATAACTCACCAATCGCCCTTACAAACAAAAGTTCTCAAAGATGATCTAGAAATTTATTGCTTACATATTTCATATTGTTCAAAACAAAGATATATTTGTTTAATATGTCGACCAGAGAAAACAATTATTCGGGTTGACAAGTCAAGATATAAGCTGACATAAAGCCTTTAAAGTGCTGGTATAAATGTATTTCTCTATTAAGTCCACAATTCTACTTGAAATGTGACATACTGGATTTGAATCAAGCCTTAAAGTAATATCGGGAGGTAAAGGTGCATGCTTCTTTAATTGTTATTTATAATTAGAAAATTAAACTAACTGGTGCGTGGAGAAAGAATATCTCCGTGACATTTTACAAAGGTCAGCTTACTCCAAGTCATCTTCAATAGAAGTCTTAATCTCGCTTTAACTACGTACATCTTATCCAGCCCTTAAAGTAATATCCTGCATATTTCGGCACTAATTTCGATTGGGTACAAGCCCAGCTTGAGAGCCTATCAGATTTCTCGATCGTCGCGAATACCAAGTCTCGCGCTTTCAAGCTAAAATGTCTAGCAGTGATAATCGAGTTGCAAAGTTCAAGGGTCGTTCAATGTCAAGGTTTCCGTGGTGGTCGTTATTTCACAACCTCTGATTGGACGCTACTGTGCTCTTTTAACGTGATCTTACCTCGGTACCAATAGTAACTTATTTCATACAATAAGGCAAATAATAATCGAGAATGAAAAATCCCGAGTTCTTCCCCGGCCAAGCCAAAACTCCTTTAACGGGGACGTGCATGGGGTCTTCTAGAATAGTAAGCATACCGTAACTAGAAAGTAAATCCATCCTTTTCACGTACAACATGTGCATCTATATGGTACTGAATAAGATGCGAA